CGTGTCCCGGTGCCCGAGTGGCCCGGCCGTGCTCGGCACCCCGGGTGCGCAGAGCCCTCCCGTCCCTCCCGCCGGAAGCGGCGGGCGCCTCTCCTCCGGCCCGAGCTTGCCCTGCTCACACACTGTCCCGCTGAGGAAGCAAAAGGCACGGGCTTGGTGAAGCAGTGAATGAAGGCACCCGGGAATGCCAAAAAAGAGGGCACGGCCCCATAGATGCAATAAATCTTTATTACACATTGTAGTTTAGGATCACTTTTACATTCCTAGACAAAAAAAAAAAAAAGAGATGATACAAATAAATATAAGCTGTAAAACCTATGGACAGAACTATTGACAGGTTCCTTGTCTAGATCACCTAAGAGACGGTCAAGGTCAGTGGATCACGGGGCTGCGAGGAGAGCCCTGGAGGGTCCCGAGGAGGCACCTGGAGAAGGTGACAGGCGGCGGGAGCGAGGAGAGCCCCCGGTGACAACAGCCGGGAGTGAGGAGAGCCCCCGGTGACAAGCGGCGGGAGCCCCCGCGTGCGGCGCGGCCGGGGCCTCCCAGCGCCTTCTGCCCCGTCGCGTTCGTCCCGGGGCGTCTGACTGCGGCGGCAGCACGTCCAAGAGCCGCCCCGCACGTCCAAGAGCCGCCCCGCTCCTCGCAGGCCCCGCTGCGTGGCCGAGCGGCGAGAGCGGGGGACAGAGCCAGCGCGGGGCGTCCCGCAGCCGCCGCCGCTCTGCGTTGGGCGAGGGCAGCTCTGCTGCGCCCGCAGGAACAAAAGCCCTCTCCAACAGCCCCCGCGCTGGTAATGCACCCRGGGAGTCCAGAACGCTAGGGCAGCAGCGTGGGGCTTGGAAGAGTCGAGCAGCATGCAAATATTTTTYAAAAGGCAATCAAACCTACGTTAAGGATTTTCAGAAAGTGCTTTAGTTCCTATGCTTTTCACGTGGTGCTTGCTCCCAGAACCACAGACCTGCTTGGACTGCGTGTAACTTGAAAGCAGTTAGATCCCATTATACAGACCAAGGATGAGAAGGATTTTAAACCTTCCTGTGCAGAGCCTACAATCGTGCGCACTGTCCAAGGGCCTCTTCAGGAGCCTGCTGCATTTCCTGCCTTCCGCTGTTACCCTGCAGGAAGCCCAGCTGGGTCAGATAACACCCAGGGAGACGCAAACTCGGCAGGATCATTTGTAAAACACTTCACGCGAGAGCTCAGTACAGTTTGTAGGGCTGTAACAATAGATTTGATCTCGATATCAGTGCCTCTGCGCATCTATTCATGGGGAAGTCAACCAAAATGAGAGTCTAAAAGCTTCTGTAACAGTCTGAGATTGCCCGTGAATACACTAACCACATCTCTATCCACAGCTCTGATATAAATACACTGACTAAATATCCAATTTTATTCTTTTTTTTTCCATCCTATTGAATTTCTTTCACCTTGCTAATGAACTTCTACAAAATTAAAAGCAGAGCCTTTCTGACATATTAACCAGCTAGTTTATTAACACTAAAACGAGAACAGTTTGGGTTTGCACTGTGATTTCCACTGTACCAATCCTGCCACAAGGGGAGTTTTCAGCTTTTGTGCCTAATACAGAGTTCCCTGTGGAACAGCAGTGACCGAAGAAGTGCGCACATGTGCAAACACAATCGTGTCTGTGCATGCATATTCATATAGAAACATATGTGTACACAGCTAGGTACATATAKGTGTATATGTACTATGTTGCTATTTTAGGTTGTAGAACCGCCTTGTTTCATTTCAGTTAAACCGTACAATTACCTTTTTAAAATGCTGACGTACAGAAGACTATGCGAGAGAGGGAGAAAGTGGGAAGGGGGAAAGAAGGCGACACTACGTTATGCAACAAGAGCCAATTAAAAGGCTCTTTGTACATAAATAGTGGTTTATAGAAAGAAAGATTAGGCCAGGTTTCCATCTTCAGGTTGAAAGAAATCTGACAAACTGCTACTCTTTCAACTATAGGCAAACCCCTCTTTCCTCCACCAAAACTAAAATATATATATATTAATCTTGCGATCCAGAAAAGCACTCCATGAATCAAAGCAGCTGAGTCAGAACTGAAGCTGGGCCCAGCTGGGCAGCCGGCTCACCGAGGCATCGTGCCCGCAGGATGCGGAGGTGAGCTCTGCTCAGCGGCGGGTCCTTCTGCTCCCGGGGTCAGATACATGGAGCTCTCCAGCCTGGACGAAGTCACTCAGTGGATACTTAACGAGCACACAAGGCAGAGTCCAAACATCAGGGCATTTCTACAACCGGGCACRTCCTCACACACTCACACATGTCAGGCTGGAGAAAGTCATCAGTGAGGGAGAGGAAACAGGGGAAAACATTCATGGGATGACAGGCAACAGCAACCAAAGAAGGAACATCCCAAGTCTCAACACACATGGAACTAAAACTCGCAGTGGGGCACGAGGCAGGAGCTCCCCTGCAGCTCCCCTTGCCTGCCGGCCGCACGGGCCTCCTGCTCCAGGCACCGCGCAGCTTCAGGGAGACCAGGAAAGCTGGAGTCTTCCTGCCTCGTGTCAAAGTGCAACCCCTGGAATTAATGCCAGGCTCCATCACTGAGACTCGCCTCCATGGGGGCTTCATTCCCACCAGCCCCGAGTGGGCTCGGAGGTGGAAAGGGAGAAGTTCTAACGTGGAACAGGTGAGACACGGAAGGGCCAAAGACTGGGCCTCCCGAGACACCAAGGGCAGTGTCCACACATACAAGAACAGTGCACTTAGACAGAGCTTCACGTTAAGGAACTCTGCTCTTTACCCAGCCTAAACGGGGGAGTAGAGTCAGCCCTAAGAGCCTGCCAGGAAGAAAGCTCCAAGACTCCGTTTCATACGGACGTTGGGAGATGTGGGAAAAGGGCCGCCCACCACCCCAAGTTCAAAGAGTCAGGATGGAGACCGGTCTAAATTGCCAGGGGCAGAGACGGAGGCAAGAGAGAGGAAGAGCAGCTGGCACTGGGGTGCAGGTGCCTTCGTTGTCGAGGTGCTTCCTACTGACAGGGCTAAGGTCTGTGGGAGGTCAGTTTAGAGCAGCTCTTAGCTTAGGCCTGTAAACAAGTAAAGGATTTCAGTTTCTATTGCTTCCTTTCCGGAGGGCGTAACGATGCTTCCAAGACCCCTCTTGGTTCTACATTTCTACAGGGAGGCAGAGCTATCTAGCTGTGAGTGCACCGCGACAGCTGCCATCCTGGCTGTTCAGACCGCTTTATTAATCCCAAATGATGAGGCCAGTCTTTTAAGCAGGAAGAGGCAAAAAACAAAATAAAACAAACAAGAAAAACAACTAAGCACCTAGTTTGGATCTACCCTCTGCTTTTTAACTGCATTTGGTTCTCACTATGACGTTCTGTAGCGGTGGTTCTGCTGAGATGACCTTCAACTCTATCTTCTTATTGCCCAAAAGCAAAAAAAAAAAAAAGAAAAAGCCCAGTGCAGCAGAAAGGGCTAGTGCAGAAGGAGAGATGGTGACGCTGCGAGGTGGTCCCCATGCTTCCCATTGCTTCTAACACACGGTAACGTACCTCATGCATTTCTGATTCCCTAACTAACAGAGGCCAACTGCTGAACGCAAACACGGATCTTCCTGTGGCTCAGTGCACCTGGGCTGGCACAAGTCAGTTAAACAGCAGAGAGGCCATCTCCAGCGGAGGGGCTGGCGGCCGCCCGGGAGGTCTCTCTGCAGCTTTCTACTCGTCTCTGCTCTCAGGAGGAAAGGCTGCTCGCGCCCTGGAGAGGAATTGCTGGGTTTACTTTGGAACCAGCCCTCGTGACTGTGGATAAAGCTGAGAACTATGGGTGCCTGCTGAAGAGGATCCCCCTGATTTCCTTCCAGTTTTAGGCCTGAAGAAGTAAAAAYGAAAAAATAAACAAAAAACCCCAACAATGTCACTTGTTACTCATCAAAATTAATCTCCCCAAAGCTGACAAAGTTTACTGGACTCGTTCTCTAACCACTCTCATCTCCCTCTTCTGTCCTACGTTCCCCTCTCTCCATCTCTGCTTTACAGCCAATTCAGCCTTAACCTTATTGCAGAAGAAGTGCAGACAGAGGCAGCTGTATTCACACCTCTACTGTTAGCTAGTCTGCTTGCTAAAAATTCAGCCTACCTGGACTTTGTTTTTTTATTTGAAGTGCTCTCAAAGGTTGAAGCGTCCACCTGTATCTCATCTTCATCCTGCAGAGCAGCTTCTAGTGCAGCCTGAACTTTGGGGGCGATGGCCGGACCCTCGTAGTCCCTCGTTGTTCGGCTGGGCATGTCAAGCTCCAGTAATACAATATTCTCTGCCTGAGAAAGCAGAAGCAGAATCAAAGGCTGCACGTTTTCATGCAGAGGAATTGTTCTCTCTGTAAGTTTATTCTGAAGTACTTTTGAAGGCACTAAAAATCTACATCCCACAGAAAAGAGCTATCAAACCTCAGAATCCACATGCCCTTGATGAGGAATATGAATATCTGAAGGTTGCAACCACAAGCAGGCTTACCCTGTACCGGGCTTCTGGACGGATCATCATGGATGTCCTGGCGTGCTGGCTCAACGGCCTCTTGTATCCCACAGCCGAGACTGGTCTCTTCATCATCTGCTGGTTACTGGAGACACGGATGATACTCAGTCTATCGCACACCAAAACCMAAACTCCTCCTCAAGTATATGAGTGAAAACGCCTGCAAATCCCGCTAGGAAATATGTCCCAAGGGGGCAGAAAACATCAAGGCTACATTTCTAGGAACAGTCCTCCACAGTATCTTCTACCATCAGAGATGATGAGGTGAGATAATTATCCAGTGTTATCTGTTCCCCAACAAAGCAGAGAATTTCTATGTATTTTTACCACACAGACCACAGATACGTTCAGCTGCATCCAGTTTTCTAAATTTGCTCTAAGGAATTTCCTGCGTAGAGSGTCAGGATCTATCCACAGCTCTTGCACCATCATTTCTGAGAGCTTTCTTGTTTAAAACAGGAAAGAAAAATTATATGGATTTATGCCCTTTTAACAGTAAATGCAGTGTTATATCTACATTACTATAATTATTGGGATCATCTGGAAAAAAATGTAATCTTCCAAGAATTTTCCTAAYGCTACAGTCCTGTTTTACTCAGTTTACTAAGAAGAATAAGAACTTTATTTGACAATGCTATAAAAAGGAGAGGGGCAGTTAAAATCTCAGCTCAGTCCCTCTRTCAGGGTAACTCTTGACAACCTCCGGGCTTGCTTAACATGACCTRTTATCCCAGCCCAAGTAAAAGTTTAGGATAACACTCACTCCAGACGGGTTATGGGATGCAGCTTCCATTGGTCCTCCTCTTCATCAAAGAATGATCTGTTCATGATCTTATTCTTTTCTTCCAGGGGAATAAAATTTTCAATAATCAGGTGTCTGTAGGCAAACACAAAAATGGGAAATACACAGGAAAGTCGATGGTTGACCTACCTCACCGCTCCTCCTCCACAGAATAATACTAACTTTTCTCATGTTTAAATCTCATTTTGCAAGCATGTGGGATGCAGCCCCTCCTTTCACTCCCCATGCAAAGAAACCTTCCCCGTCGGAGTCAATGGCAGGCAGTGAAGTGTTGGGACTCACTTTAGCTTCAGTTCCCTGGTAAGCTCATTCTGGGTTTGTTCCAATTCCTGACGCTCCTTGATGTGYTCTTCTTGGAGATCATGGATCTCTGCCTTCACAGCCTGCAGCTTGGAAAATAGCTGGCACAAACAAGAAGAGCCGGAGTTAGAACTCCTCAATGTTCCTCAGTTTCACAAACAGCTGGAGTTTTGCCTAACCTGCTGCACATGGACTCTTTTGTTTTGTTTTACCTTTTTGAGCTTTTTGGTCTTTATATCCACCTCTTGCTGTAAAGAACTATAGGTCTCCTTCAGTTCCAGTGTTTCCTCATCCCGACTTTCCATCTGTTGTTGAATTTCTCGCTCCCGACGTTTCTAAAAAACAATATACTATATTAGAGACCACAGTTATGCACCTGACATACATGAAACCAACACTCAAGATGGTTTTACTTCCCTGGGATCCAGGGCTTTTGCTTTAGCTTCTAGTTCTTCCTATTTCTTGCCTTAGAAATACCAGAAGCATGTGCTCTTCTTGATCTTTATTTTGCTGAAGGGCCTATTGGAATTGTCATCAGATAGTGTGAATAAGTGGCTTCAATTGAAGGAATTAAATGTTGTATTCAGATTCTTTTTTCCTTCTTATCAATCCATACTAGACATTTCAGTTAAACAGCCATCAAGAAAAACGTGTAACAGAAACCAAACTTTTATCCCACAGTAAATATCCCTCCCTTGAGCTAATGCTGAGCTGTCACTCTCTGTGGTCTTTCAATTAGTGCATGCCTCACAGATACTGCCAGCTACAACAGGACATAAAGCTTTGATGTGAAAAGCTAGAAAACTGTTAGGAACCTCCTTTATGTATTTCGTACTGTAACAAAAGGACAAAAGCCCTTCCCTTTTCTTTTGAAATTAACGATTGCATTTAAACAAATTTCAGGGTTAATCTTGGGATAAATTGTTTCCAGTTTCTCCCAATATAGTGTTCCATGAAAGTTCTGCAGAGAGAACGAATGTTTTCTTCATACCTGTTCTGCAATTTCCTGACGTTTCTGTTCCAGGATTTTCTGCTGTTCATTGGTGTGATCCACAATATTCTTCCCTCCCACCAGAAGCTTGCTTTCCATTGCCTAAAGAGAAAAAGGAAARAAAAARGGCTTAAGTTTCTCTCTCAGTGACATCTAACCAAGCCCTTCCCCAGAACACAGCCACTTCTCCTGTGCATACAACAACTTTATGGCTGCAGTTCCCTGGCCTGACATCCTGTTTGAATCACCTGCTTCAAGAATTACTATTTCTTGAAATACCTATAAAACTGTAAGATTAAGAAAACAGTAACTTGCTTGGAATGACACGGTGTTGCAATGCGTGGCAAGCYTGAAGAACTAAAATGCATACTCCCATGGAAAGCACGACAACAGCCAAACTTTTAAATAATTCATCCAGAATGAAGCATTTTTGTGCTAGGGCTTGTAAAAAGATTTATCATCACATTTTGCTCTGCTGACAGCTTAAGATCCTATAAGAACGGCGCATAAAAACAAAGCAACCTGTGAAAGTTGAAATAYGACATTAGCAGTGTAAATTAAAATTAGTTTAGATTCTACCTAGCAATAATTATTTTAACACCCTGTGATTTAAGCATAACTCATCACTGTTTTGAAATTGGGAAATGTGCCGTTCTCCCCAGAGCCTGAAATTCCCTTCCGACAAGAAAGAATCCCACCTTGATCTTGGCACTCAGCATCTCCGTTGCCTCCTTCTCCCGCCTCAGGTCCTCCATTTTCTTCTCCTTCTCTTTCAGCAGTCTCATCTTTTCTTCCGCCACCAAGCTGTGATCCTCAACAATAGCTTTCTTTTCGATCTCTAATTTCTCTTGCTGTTCCCTCCAATAGTCATCTTTGTCGTCCCCTTCATCCTCCCCCTCTTCAGTATCCTCCTCCTCTTCCCCCCCATCTCTCCTCCTTTCCCTCCTCTTTCTTTTGCCAATTGACCGTTTCTCCAGTTGGGCCTTTAGCCGAGCGATTTCTTCCTGGAACTCTCGCAGCAGAGCATCCTTCGGATCCTCGTTGACTCTGGGCTTGTTTTTGATGTTTTTGGCACGATTGGCATACCTCAGCGTCGTAAGAGTTTCCTCTACGTTGTAAGAGGCAGGGCCTATATTGGCCACCATCACGGTCTTGGCATTGCCACCCAAGGAGTCCTGAAGGAGCCGGGTTAGCTTGGAGTCCCGGTACGGAATGTGGGTGCTTTTGCCGTCCACGAGGGCGGAGATAACGTTGCCCAAGGCCGACAGGGAGAGGTTGATTTTAGTGGCTTCCTTTAACCTTTCCCCCTGCGCTCCGGTCTTAGCTTGGCGCTCGCTTCCTGCAAGGTCTACCAGGTTGAGTTTCCCCACGCGGATGTGGTTCTCCCCATCCAGCCCTAACTCGCTGCACTCGATGGTGATCACAAAAATGGCGTGAGAGCGGGAGCTGTGCTCGTTCATGTTCGTGGCACCGACGGAGCGATTCTGGTTGCCCACGTTCATGACGTGCTCGATCTCTTTGACGCTCTTCGTAACGAAGGAGGACAGGTCCTTAACGTACACCCCCGTGTCGGGTCTCTCCTTCAACTCCAGCCTCTTGGATTGATCCTTTGATAACAAGTCTCTGATTTCTTCTTGGTATATTTCCAAGTAAGAGGCTCTAACTAAGTACTGTTGRTTTTGAGATCTAGAGATGTGGGTGAAGATGTGGTCAAATGAGTTGGGGATGACCCCTCTTTTTTCAGGATCACCACGCACTCCTTCCATGGTGTATGTTTTCCCTGTYCCGGTTTGTCCATACGCAAAGATTGTCCCATTAAATCCTTGCAAAACAGAGTCCACAAGAGGTCTGAAGGTCTCATCATAGAGTTCAACCTGTTTGGAATTCCAGTCATACACAGCGTCAAAGGTGAACATTTTAGGCAGTTCATGAGCTGTTCCCCTTGGATTCTTCACTGAAACCTGCCCTAATTTGACATCCACGTTAACGACTTTCTCGTACGAGGCCGTCTTCTCCTTGCTGTTCATGGGGCGGCATCGCACCACCACCCTCACGGACTCAGAGCTCTTGAGCTTGGACATGGCAGCAGCTCTGTGGCCGGGCCGAGCTGACCAAGGAACGATCCAGTGCCAGGAACCTAAGGAAAAGGAACAGGGGGAACACGTGAATGCAGTTTTCTGCAGACACCAAGTTTTCACAAAGCCAAAGATTCAGCTCATCTACCTGAGCACCATTTGCATTCATTGTTTTCATGCCTCAGGATGGACACGATGGAAACTTTTAATTCATGGTTTTCAATGAACAATTGAACTTCTAATTCATTGTTCTCATGCCTTAATGGACACGATGGAAACTTTCAAAAGCGCCGAACCGGCTCCACGTGACTTTACAACAGCCTGTCCGTCGAGCAGCACCATTTGCCCAAGCTGTGCTGCCAGGGAGCAGGAGCAAATCACACCCTCACAGGGGGCAGAGATCCTCCGAGCAGCAATAATGCTTTGTGGACTATTAATGGAAATAAGGCTGGGCCAGGACAGGCTCTGGAAAGGAACCGGCCGCGTGCGCGGGCCGAGCGGCTCGGCCGCTCGCCAGGGCTGCGGAGCAGAAACCAGCCCTCGCAGCTGCCCTTGCCAGGCTCCTGCCCGCCCAGGAAACCTCCCAGGTTTATAGTACATTTACGTTACGATAATTTTGCCAGTCTCCTTGCACGCGGTGTGATGTGTCCTCGGGGCCATCCTGCCACAAGGGTTTAACACTCCTCGCTGGGTTTGGTTATAGGAAGCAGTGCTCTGGAACGCAGCCGGGGACTCTCCTCTCCTCTCCTCTGCATTAGCACTTTTTGAGTCACGTTCTCGAGGGCTAGATACAGCAATAGGCATTCGGCTTGGACACTGCTAGGACAAGATCAAATCAGCTCCTGCTGTGCCCCTTCCCAAGGCCCCGGAGCTCCTGCACGTTCTGCATCCCACAGACGGGGAAAATAAAGTTAACTTTCCTGATGGACACAACCACCACCTAGAATGCCAGTTTAGCCTGTGTTCATGCCAGCCCTCAGAACGTCCCGTCAGTGCCAAGAAATCCCATCTCTGGCGCTGGAGTCACTTCTAGCGCTGCCCACGAGGGGGACCGGGGCGGAGGGACGTCCCGGCACCGCGGGCGAGCTCGGCGCCCSCCGGGCTGCAGCACCCGCCACCCTTCCGCCCCGGCCCCAGCTCCCCAGCAGTGACGCTGCTTTGGTTCTGTTGCAAAACCACCACTCGCCCCGGCCACAGGAGGGCAGCGCCCGCAGCTGGCGCCCGAGGGAGCGGAGGGGACAGCGGGCACCGGGCCCCGGGCACAGCAGCGCGCGGGACACGGCCGGGCCGGCCCTYCCAGGACACCTCACGAGGCGGATTTAGCTCCTTGCACATAAAAATTCTATGAAACACGATGAAACATCCCTGCGATGAAACACGCAGGGATCGGAGCTCACGCTATCCCTTCTCTACGTGACCGACCTTATGGAGAGGCGCTGTCGACTCGCTAGGAACTTCCCCGACTGGAGCTCACACACCTTCATCGCAGGGGAGCCTGCAGCCGGTCACACCTGCGCCAGCCCCTGCGGGCAGCACTGCTGCACGCGGATCCAGGCGGCCGCCTTCCCCTGCACACAGCACTTGCACTGGGCTCCTGCATAAAACCGGCTCTGTCCCGCAGCACGAGGCGCGTTCCTGCCGCCGCAGCGCCCGCCTCGGCGCCGCCCGCTTTACGAGGCACAGGGTTGGACCAGACCATCCTGGAGGTGCCTCCCAACCCGAGGGACTCCGTGATTCCACCAAGCTCTCGCTGCACGAGACACGGCTCCGCTCGCGGCTCCGCTCCCGAGCTCCGGCTCCCGCGGGCCCTGCACCAGGAGCACCCCTGACAAGGGGCAATGGGTGCAAACTGCAACGCAGGCAGGTCCATCCCCAGGTGAGGAGGAACTTCTTTGCTGCGAGGGTGCCAGAGCCCTGGCACAGGCTGCCCAGGGCGGCTGTGGAACAAACACCACGTGGAAATCCCAGGTGCACAGACACACGTTCAGTCTGGCCGCCTCCCGACTTTCCGCTGCCTGCTGGATCTGCAGCAAAGCCTGTGTATTTTGCCTGTGGCTTTGTTGTCGCTGATGGGTTATTTTTTTTACTCACTAATTGCACCCTGTCTCAGGAGAAGCTCTCAAACCACGCGACAGAACTTCGGGAGCAGAGCCAGGGCACTGGGAAAGAAGGTAGCACCTTTCTACCCCAATATCCTTGTGTCAGTCTCCAAAAAGAATAGCACTGGGGCAGCACCTAAACGTATTTAATAACCTGTGTGGGAACCTCGCTACAACCTCTGGAATTCCCTCGGTGTCCTCAGGGTTTCCCTCAGGACAACGCTCCCTTGTAATTCCCATGGAAGYCCTTGGCAGTTGAAGGGGAGGAAGAGGCAGGTCTGTTGAGGTGAYCAACCTGGACCGGCCTCCCAAGGGGCTTCCCAACCTGCAGTGACTCGAAGCTGCTGCCGGGATCCGGGGCTGCTCCTGCCCAGCAGACAGGGACACATCCCGAGCCACCGCTCCAGAGCGGCCCCCGCCGTGTGACCCACACGGAGCGTCTGCTTTGGGGCACGGACACACAAAGAAAACTCTTAACGCACAGACCCAGAATTAGAAACGGCGGCTCCACCTCTCCGCATCGTATTTACACTTACGAATATACCTGGGCTTATTGCCCATTTACCTGAGATAATCCCAGCGCTCCGGAAACACCGGGGCAGTTTTCCCCAGGTAAGTTCACAGGACAAGCGAGGCTTCCCCTGCCCGCACTGTTACGCCGGACACTCACACCGGCAAACTAACTAGCCACGGGGTCAGAAAWGAGAAGCCGTCATTGATTAGCGCAAGGTCAGCAGCCAGAGCACGCCTCGGGTGAGCAGTGCAGCGTTTTAGGCGGTGTTGGCTGGAATGAAACCAAGAGAACGAGCCTTGCGTGGCCTGCTGCTTTCTGCGGGATTGTTCAGGCTACCGAGCGGCCGGAGGGGCCGGAGGGGCGCAGGGACAGCGCTGCCGGGGCCGATCTCGCAGCAACGGCGCCACGAGGCCCCCGCGCGCTGGGCCCCRTCCCGCTGACGCGACAGCCGCACGCGGCCCCACCGGCACACGGGGACGCACAGCCCCGTGTCACGCGTGGGGACACCCACGGCCCTGCCGCCCCGGGGCACGCGGGGACGCTCCCCGGCGGAGCGCACGGCGGCGCTGCCGCCCCGCTCCGCGCGGCCGCAGGCCCGTGCAGGCGCCGCCGCGGGGCCCGGGCGCACGCGCCAGGGCCGCCGCCTCCTCCCTCCGTTCCCGTCCCCGTCTCCATCCCCGTCCCGGTTCCGGTTCCGGTTCCGGTGCCGGTCCCCATCCCGCCCGGGCCCGGCGGCCGCCCCGGGCCGGCCTCACCTGCGCCGTCACCATGGAGCCGCCGCCCGGCCGCCTCTCTGCCGCCGCACCGGATACGGCGGGGCGGGCCCGGCCCGCCGCCCGCCCCGCGCACTTCCTTGGCAACGCGCGCGCCCGCCCCCAAGCCAGGACTTCCTTAGCGACCGCCGCCCTGGCAACGGGCGCACTTCCCTAGCGACGGGGTGGGGCAGCGCGACGCCGCTTCCCTAGCAACGCGCCCCCAAGGCCCGGATGGAGCGGAGCGGGTCGGACCGGAGCGGGGCGGAGCCCGAGCGCTGGAGCGGAGCCCGCGCGGGGCCGCCGGGCGGGCCTCGGACGGGAACAAGGSGGCCGCCGCCTCCCCCTCGCGGCCCGGGGCGCCACGAGGCTCCCCCTACCCCTCCCCAAGCCAAGGGGTCCCCCCAGAAGGGCTGCAGCAGGAGCAGTGCGGGGGGATCGGGCAGAGCAGGAGCTGCGGAGCCCAGCGCCCTGCCCACAACACAGACACCGGCTTCGCTCTGCTKTTCTGGTACAAAAAGTACAAAATCGGCTTTATTGATTCTTGGCCCCAGCCAGTCCCAGCCCCCGGCACAAGCACCGCCGTGGAGGGCTCCGGTCACCTCCATCGCGCTGGCGAAAATCGCCATTTTGTGCAGATTGACCCTCTTCACCAATGGTTCTAACGCGGCAGGGCCAGTGCGGAGCGGGCAGAGGGAGAGGAGCGCACAGAGCTGCAGCGTAAGAGCCGTCCCGGGTGGATGACTGACCCGTCCCGGGTGGATGACTGCAGGTTAAGTTTTGCCCGCATTAGGGAAAAATAATCTAAGAAAAATGGGCGTGTGGCTGACGTGCAGGTGTGTATGGAGCAAGGAACGCCCTGGAGCGGGGGCCGTAGCAGCGACCTGCAGCTCCAGGAAACTGCCCAGCTTCCTCCAGGACACGGATCCAACGTGCACTGCGTTCCCTACAGCAGGACCCGCTGCTGACTCCCTGCGGAGCCAAATCCCACACGTTTCTGCAAGGCAGCGCYGAGGGATCCAGACACAGGGTGATGCCACCCGAACACGGCAGGTAACTCATCCAACTTGGCCTCTTTTGCTCCTGTGAACCTTCAAATTCCTTTAAGGAACACTTCCCAAGGGAGAGGGGAAGGAAAAAAAAGGGGAAAAAAAAAAAAAAAACCACCCAGGCACTCAGAATTAAGTCCTAGTAAACAGACTGGGAGAGCGTTCCACAGGYCATGGGATCACATCAGAGGCGGTCACCTCAGCACTACAGCTTGAGCTACTCACCATTTCCAAAAAGTAAACAGTAAATTCTACACTCAGCCTTCGAAAAGTCTTAGGCATCACTAAAGACATCGGTCAGATGGAGATTTAACAGATTATCACCACCACCAGCACTAAACTGTCCTGGGGCAAGCTATTCTGCCTTTGTGGTAACTGTTCCACTATCAGCTAACGTTTTCTGCAGATAGCTACAATGGGAAATAGCACTGCTGCTGTCAGAGGGATTATTTTACACAACAGAAACCAGAAAACCATTAACATGGACCTAGATAAGACATACATCAACCTAATAATTCTTAACTAATTCTCAACTAATTCTTAACTCAGAAAATTAGAAACGTAACATTTCTACCACAGGCATCCACCTTAAATTAACAGCTACCAAGCCCCCAGTCTCCCCTCAAGCCTGTCTACAAAAAATGCCCCCTAAATCCTCCTTCACCAGGGCAGTGCAGGTACCAAGGGCAGCTGAACGGCCCCGGGCAGCGTCACACCGCGACCCCGGCGTGTCCGCAGCACCACCAAGGTGGGAGCTGCACGAGTGCTGAYGCTCACAGCACTGCTGGGAAGCAGGTGGTTATCCCAGGAATTTAGTGTCTTTCCAGGGGAACGGGAACTGAGGCACAGAGGTGATTTGGCTCTAATAAGGCAGCAGCAATACCTGATAAAACCCAGATTTTTCTCTCAAGCCTTCCATGATCTTCCGGAAAATATGTGCACTAAAGAGAATTTACGGTCAGTTTTGGACAATAAGCAGCTTTTCAACATCTCCAGGTAAAAGGAGATTTAAGAGTGGAATAAAAAGGGAATAAGAAGGAGAATAAATTTGAGCAGCTGCTTGATCATAATCGTTGTCAAATCCCAAATAACGAGAACAGGAAACTATGTAGTTTCCTATGAGCTACATGATTTAAAATTTCCTTTCTGCCTGATCTCATGCCAGAAGTATGGGAGAACTGAGAAGTCAGACAGAGCAGTCTAAAAATCACTGTGAAGAGTAACAAAACCTTGCAGATCAGTCCACAGCCCAGTGTGGCTGAGCGCTCCACACACGGCGGAACAGCGTTAAGTTTGAGGGGTCCCTCGGCGAGGTACCGAGCTCAGAGCCCTGAGAACTATYAAGCCCACTTCTCCCTGGGTCAGAATTCATCCCGTAACCTTGGCGGGTGGTCCATGCCGAAAAACGAGGAGGGTTTTCCGTGCACATCGCGCTCCCGCTTCACGAASGCTGTAAACGAAGAGACGCAGTTGCCGATAAAGTGATCGGACTGGCCAAGAATATACAGGTCAATCTGGGCCACTTCAGGCTGCAAGCTTACAACTTTGATCTGTGGGGGAAAATAGGGAAATAAATCAATCCAGTCACCTATTTGTATGATCCAGAGCTTTTAGCATAACACTAGAAATGGGAACATAGATTTACAACAGGAAGGGAGCGGATTCTATCTAAAGTTGCCCTGGAACCGTTCTATGAAGTCAAGATTTCTGAAAGTCACTTATTTAATTGAAGTCTTTTTCAGTGAGAACTTCACTACCTGGCAGGATGCTGCTCTTCAGCCTCTAGGGAAGAGAGAGTCCTCCAAGAAGCTGGTTTGATTTTATTGCTGTGAGCAAAATTCATTTGAGCACACCAGTATTTGCCTGTGGATATACACACTCCACACCTACATGGCACACCGCAAAGGCCACCTAACTTACTAACCCTGCCTGCCTTTTAGGCTGCCTCTCAGGTTAAACTGAAAGAGCTGGGAAACACCCAGCCCAAGTACCCACCCAGTGAGAGAGAGGCTGCGGTTCCCAGAGCAGCCAGTTATTTTTCTGCATTTTAGTACACGGCTCCAAAAGCCTCGGGACTAGGATACCCCCAGGATCTCGAGGCACAACCAGCAGCCCTGCTCATCCCCTGGCTCCCTCACTAGATGGTCTGTGTTTCTCTAACGCCAGATCATGTTAATATTTCCCATTAGCTGCTGGACATAACTGCACTTTCACTGAAAACATGTTCCATGGGTAACTCTTGCTTAGGGCAGCAACAGAGCAGAAGCCAAGGCAAGTCTTAACCAAAGCATTCCTGCCAGAGAGAGTTTCTGAAATATTTACCTTTCCTTGGAAGAACTGCTGTATTTCCTTGGTGTAGGGCTCGGAATCAGTAGCAATATAAACAGATTTCGCTTCTGTCTTTTCCACCCAGAGCTTGAGAGCGCGCTTGATCTCTTTGAGGCCTGGCAGGCACATGTCCATGGTAAGAGGCCCCGCAGTGTTGCGGTCGTAGCCCACGCACTGAGGCGAAGCCATGAAGTGAGGCCCAGCTGTCCCATCCTTTAACATATTACAGGCATTTTTCTATTGGAAGAAGAAAAGAAAACACCACATTTCAATGCAGCGGCTAGAGAAAACAGCACCAAGTCCCCATGCTGCCGACACAGTTATGGAGTCTGCCGGAAATGGGAATCCCTGCAGCATTCCCACCACTCAAACAGCGGGTTACTGAATGCCAGCTGGGTTTGACCTGTCATCCCAGAATGGGAGTTCCTTTTCTGATAGTCTTTTCTGTAGAATAACTAGCCTACGGCAAGGGCAGGAGCTACATCAATGAGCAGGAACCTGGAGACATACCCAGTCGGAGCCGATGCGCAGATGGATTCCCACGTAGGGCCTCACGAGGAGAGAGTGAATATAGGCTTCCCCCTGCTTCACCATTTTGTCAGACCACACGATGTACTTCTGCAGAGGTCGATGCTCCTCCAAGACCGGGAACTGGGCTGGAGCTCCAGGCAAGGCAAGGACAGGGTGCTCGGATGGTGGAAACCTAAGAATTCAAAGACAGGAACAGCAGCTTTCACCCTATCTGCTGAACAGTCTTACAGCTCGCTAAAGTATTAGACAGTTACAAAAAAAGTAAATAGCTTCTATTTTTTTTGATCTTTTTTGTGTCTCACACCGGAAAAAGTGTTTCTTCACCCACCAGTTCTTGCAACTGCCCTACTGCCTTAAACTCAGCCTTCAACGCCCCATCCACATCCTTTAACTTGACAAGTTTTGGACAAGAAACCCCAAAACCCTTTTCTGTGCCCAGAGAAGCAGAGCAGCTTTTCCTGCTTGGCATCCTGGGGTGCCTGACGTGAAGCCTGCACAGTGGCCACTCCCGCCAGGACAAACGGACAGAACCRGCCCCGAGGTCCGGCCTGAAGCAGCCAGCTGGGCAGCCCCTTAGTCCTGCACAGAAAGGGACTCAGCTCCATATTCCAAGTTTGAAACCTTGCACAAAAAATGATTCACGTGGACTTTTCAAAGGTTACAATGGAAATCATGAAGCACCCTTGAAAACACAGCACRTGCCGCATGTTTTCCCAACTTCTGGTACCTTTGGATCCAGTGGTCCTTGTATGCGGCACTGAAGGAAATTCCCTTGAAGAGCTCAGACCTATCGAAATCCACCTTGAACTGGTCCCAGAAGGGACCGAACGGGTTTCCATCCTGCAAAGGAAGGACAGGCGGTGGGTGCAGGCCGGCAGCCCCACGCGAGCAGCCTCCTGCCACCACGGCCAGGAGCAGCAGACRGCTCAAAAACCTGCTGGGATCCAGGGAAAAGGCCGCCCCAAACCCCAGCACCACCGAGCTGCAACCTGCCTTTCAGGGCACGGCTCCGAAGGCAGCCCGGGCCGGACACAGGCAGGGAGCAGCACCAGAGGAGCGTTTTTTGGAGCATTTATTTACCTTTCTGCCACAGCCAACCCCGAGGTGCCAACACCCTGGCCCCGGCGGGCGAAGCGGAGCCGCGGGCGGCCGGGCAGGAGCAGCGAGGGGCTCTCACCTTCATGGGGCAGGCGGTGCGGTCAGCGCTGCGCTGCGCGGCCGCCTCGAAGCAGTAGGCGACGCGGCGGCCCGGCGGCCAGCGCGCGGGCGCCAGGCGCTCCATGAACTCCTCCAGGCTCAGCACGCGGTGGAAGCGCCGCAGCGGCTCCAGCTCGAAGTACTCGCCGTAGGGCACGTGCAGCTGCGGGCGGCAGGGAGAGCCTGAGCCGCGCGGCCCCGCGCCGGGCACCAACACACGGGGCATCCCGGGACGGGGTTTGGCTGCTCTTGCTGCACGTCATGCAGCAACGTCRCGCTATTGCTGGTACATGGCGAGGGAGCGCGGGCAAAACGGCCAGCAGCGCTTGAACGGGAGGGCAAGGAGCAGCGGATCGTCAGGGAACCGGCTGAAACGGGGCAATGGGGCGGGAATGGGGTCCCTGAGCCAAAATGGGACCACATTTGGAAGTGAGTTAGCAGAGTTCATTGGAAGGAGCCCAAAAGAGGAGCACCAGGAGTCCGGGAACACCCCGAGGGACCCCCAAAGGGGCACAGGGAGCACACATGAGCGTGGGGTGCCTGGTAATCAGCTCCAGGGGACTGAAGGAACRTGGGTGATCACTCGGGACAAGGCGGCGCCGATGCCGCCAACAAGGAGATGGAAGCTCTGCCCAGCGCGGCGCCGGGCAGGCGGGCGCCGAGGGCGTCCCCGGCTCGCGGGCACTCACGTTGGTGTAGGGCGGGCGCTGGTGCCGGTACTCGATCCAGGGCGGCACGGCCAGGCTGCGGTTGAGGGCGCGCGCGAAGGCCAGCGCGCCCAGGAGGTGCTCGGCCTGGTTCCCAAAGCGGCCTGCGCCGGAGGAGCGGGAATGAGGAGCGGGAACGGGGCACGAGGAGCGGGAACGGGGCACGAGGAGCGGGAACGGGGCACGAGGAGCGGGAACGGGGCACGAGGAGCGGGAACGGGGCACGAGGAGTGGGAACGGGGCACGGGAATGGAGCGCATGGAGTGGGAACGGGGATCAGGAGCAGGGATGGAGTACAGGAATGAGGTGTGGGAATGGGGCACAGGGAGTGGGGATCAGGAGCAGGGATGGGGAGCAGGACTGAGGCACAGGGATTGGGAGCAGGGATAGGGTGTGGGGAGGGAGAGCGGGGATGGAGAGCAGGGAGATGGGATCGGAGATGGGAGTGGGAGTTCAGGGAAGCTGGGRTTGAGGATGGGGGATGGAGAGGGAGGCTAGAAAGCAGGGAGTGGGGCCGAGGAAAGAGGGCCGGGAACGCAGATAGGGGACAGAGGGCACGGACCGGGATTGGGGGATGGAGCACATGGAGCGGGGATGGAGAGAGGGCGCCGGCAGGGGAGACCGGGGATGCGGAGCTGAGATCGGGATCAGGGGACAGAGAGCAGGGATCAGGACCGGGAATGGGGAGCGGGATGGGGATCAGGAGCAGGGATTGGGGGTAGGGACGGGGGATGGAGAGCGGGGATGGGGAGCGCGGATGGGGGGCGCAGAGCAGGGAGCAGGCCCGAGGGGCGGGCCCGCGCGGGCGGGTAGGGCCCGGGCCCGGTGCCGGTGCCGGTGCCGGTGCCGGCCGCTCGGCGCGGCGCGGCG